ATATTTTTGCAATGAAAATTGTGGAAAACTACTGCATCGCTATTTTAGTAGCAGTAGATCTCCTTGTGAAAGAGTTCCTCCAGGGAAGTTCCGCCACTTTTCATATTTCTGCCGCCAAGCAGTAATGTCAGCATCACTGTGTTCCGGTTTTGGATGATAAGGGTACTGGTGAAATTACTGGCACTTGGAGTTGTCAACTTAAGTCTCAGGGTGACGGGTGCAGTGGCAGTGCCCCTCAGATCTTTGCGATTCAAAGCTCTGAGTGGCACTGCAACTGTTATGGACAGGCGTGTCGCTTGCCATCAGGCAATTATAAAAATAATTGCTTGAATTTTAGCAACAAAAGATAAGACATGGGGATAACCGCCACCCTTATAGCTACATAGCAAACTTTTCCAGGAAACTTCGGGATGTCTGGAGAAACTTAAAAATAATAATAACACCGAGGGCGCAATAAATGCTCTTTGTATACAAATTTAGAACTTATAATTGTAAATAAAATACTTAAATTATTATATTTGGGTCACCATACCGATCCGATATTCAACATTTTATTGCCAAAATATTAACTTATATAAATAAGAATTGAGATTCACAGAACCGATTCTAGTGCTCATATCAAACCAGCGTAAATCCGTGATTTTTGAAAGGGAAAGATCTTTTTTATCCATAAAAAACGATTCGCTTTACCAGAATCCAACGTTGACTTCAAAAAGAGTAAAAAATTCCTTTTTTTAACTAAAAAAAAGAAGTTGCAAAAAAATTGCAAAGGGGTGCAACACAAAAGGGTGGGATTGGAGTGCATTGTTGAATTTTTTTAATTTAATTTTGCACCTGGTATATATCGGGCTTATTGTTTTTTTTTTTTTCATTTGAACAACTATTGCTAAAGCCGTTAATGATGAGTTGAAATTTGACACCGCGTATTTTTTGTCCCGAGTTAATAGCAACATCTCTCTGTGCACTTATGTCGCAATTGTAGGTTCGTTCGCGATCGCAAACACGACTTTTGCAAATTGCACAATTTTTACAAATAAATGGGAAAAAGAAAAGTGGCGAACGGCCCAAGTAACATATGGTTCATGCAACGTTTACTACCACCCTTTTTAACCCTCACGCACACTACGACCAATATCAACTTGCTTTTGTTCGACAAATGAGTGGTAAACAGAACAAACTTATGTTTTGTTGCTTTACACAAATGTAACAAAAAAAATGCGTGGCCTCAACTGAAATAGTCCCAGTTGCTTTGTCCGCAAACGTATGTGACCAGAGAGATTCAAATAGAATTTGAGACAAACCCGGTACCTTCCCATGGCCCTCCTATCTCTCTTGGATCTCTACAAATTCTGTGTCGTTGTCTCTTCTATTAACACTTCTTGTTCAAACACGACACAGTATTTCACGTTGACCAGCTGTGCGTTAGATATCGTAAACATTTCTTATATTATGTCACGAATGCGCAAACTTGAGAAACATTCTGTAGGACATGTCACCGAGAGTGTAAGCGACGGAATGGCATGCAATCATTTCGCCACCCCCTTTTCTATAATCAGGGGACTAAACGTCGGCTAGGGTTCCAACTCTATGTAATGGATGTATCCAAAATTTGAACGACACCTTTCGCTTCTACATTTAGATGGCGTACAGCCATGGAGTGGAATTCACGGAGCTCCATCGTCGACCTCGTCGTCACTTTCCTTCAGCTGAAATGGACGTCAAATGTGCACTAATTTTAATTTAAAAAAAATACATCCACTAAAATTATAGCAGAATGACGACAAACATAAATGAATGAATAAATATTAACCATGCTAATTACATCCTGCAGCGTCACAATTTATAAAATGTTCAATCCAGTATGTCAATTGGGGCTGTTCCACTTTTTGTTTCCGCGTGACTGTAATAAACATTTACCCATTTTAATTTAATTAAGCAGAAGCATTAGTTTCAAAGGTTATTCCTGAAATAATTAAAACATTTATTGTTACCAAGTTAATGCTTTTATTTAACAAAATATATTAAAAAATTAATAATAAATGTAGGCCTATGCCCAGCAGTGGGACACATCAGGCTAATTGTAAGTGTAGGTGATAATTGGGTACGAGAAACAATTAGGAACGAAACTGACATCGGAAAGAAGAAAGTGTACTAAAGTAATAACAAACCCTTTAATGATAAATAAAAAATGTACTAAATACATACAGGTTATCCCATGGCTATGGGACACAAAGGGAAAGTACTTTAATTCTGTAGATATTTTTTGTTTGATGAAGACATTATTTTTATTTTTAAAAGTACCTAAGTAATACTGCATTGAAAGACCTTTAAAAAATTGGAAAAAAGTTTAGAGAAAAGTACGCTATGAAATGTTATAAGTAAGTTTGGGAAAATTAATTATGAAGTATTTTAAGGTCGATTTTGGTACCTCTAAAAATATCGGCATTATTAGTTCATTTAGGAAACTTAGATTTTTTTTATAACATTAAGTGACGGGACGAACAAGTCGTGCGCCTGATGGTAAGCGACACGCCTGTCCAAAACAGATCCTGTGCCACTCAGAGCTTTAAATTGCAAAGATCTGAGGGGTGCCACCACTGCGCCCGTCTCCCTGAGACATAAATTGACAAGTCCCATGTGCCTGCAGTTTCACCAGCACCCTTACGCTTCAAAACCGGAACGCAGTAATGCTCACATTACGGCTTGGCGGCGGAAATAGGTAAGGCAGTACTTCCCTGGACGAACTCTTTCGCAAGGAGCTCTACTGCTATTATTAACCGACTTGAAAAAGGAGGAGGTTCGCAATTCGACTGTTTTTTTGTATGTATGTTACTCGATTACTCCAAGAGTCCGTTTTATGTTTACTGTGTCATACGCTGCGGAAAGATCCGCCTTATATCTTGCAAGTGGGGAGCTCCGCCACAAACTGCGAACGACCGGACTAGCCCATTCCTTTTCGGCTGGCGGATACGCCAGCCTAGTCTGGAGTCGTTCAGCACACACGCACCTGTTGAATACAGAACTAAATGACACATGTCGAATTATTACTGGCTGTCTGAAACCAACCCCTGTCGGTATGCTGTACCCGCTGGCTGGTGTTGCCTGGGCGTGGAAACAAACCAGGCCCGAATAAGTCTCTGGAAGGAGAGATAACCCACGGTATCGCTCTTCTCGCTGTCGGAGCACCACCCTCCTGGGCATGATCTACCTTGGCAAGCTTGAAAGTTCCTAAATAGACTGCGGACATAAGTCGGACGAAGCAAGGAGTGCTTGCACGGGTGGGGTTATATCTCGGAGAGCGCACGTCTGTGTGGTATCTCACCCCAGTCAATGGCACATCGTTTGTCCAGCCCTGCGTGTTCCTACACCTGCACACGTGAGGACCTGCACAACGCCACCGATAAGGCTTTCTCAGTCGCTAAGTACTGGTCCTCGCAAATATAAACGTCGAAGTCGACACGCCAAGAAGAAGAAGACCCGGAGACATAAATTGACAATCCTCCTCTAATTTCACCAGGCTTTCAGCAATCCTATGTGCCTCTAATTTCACCAGCACCCTTACCCTTCAAAACCGGAACACAGTGATGCTCAGATTACTGCTGGGCGGCAGAAATAGGTAATGTGGCAGTACCTCCTTGGAAGAACTCTTTCACAAGGCGCTCTACTGCTACTAGAAATATCTCCATGAACCAAAACTTAAATGCTTTCTATATTAAGGAACAAAATAAGGCACCGATGAAATATGTCTATCGCCCTTTAAACTCTCTTAAAGGTATTTATATTATTTTTGGCTTTATGACACTGTGTTACTTCTCCTCGTGACTGTGTTACTCATCGACATCGAGTAGACATCGAGAGAATACGTGTTCTTATACATTTCCGAAGACAATTCAAAACTTCAGAACTTGATATTGGATTTCGGGTACGTACCTATACGATCGGACACTACATTATCAACTTCAGACTAGTGCGTACGAGTTGCTGGTGCCGTGTAAATTTCGTTACGGTCTGACCATGGACACCGATAACGTTTTTTGGTTGTTATTGTTAAACAAAGTATTGGTAACATCACCACAAAATACCTAAAACATTGAGTGTTGTGGCAGCAGTGGTATTGTTGTCTCACTCTGCGGTACGTAGACCAGCGAAGCGTACAATTTGTACCTACTAATCATGTAATTAAGTATAAATGAAAATATTGTTCTTTTAATATTAAAACTTGTTTGTTTTTCGTCATCACCGCATTATTTTTTTTGTTTATAAAATACCTTTTGCCAATAGAGCTTGGCAAAAGGTATTTTGTTATATCTTGTTCCTGATGCCATTTTTAGCTAATACTTGAAATCCTTACTTGAATGTTTTTTGAATATAACAAGGTAACGCTTCTATGAGCAAAAAATCGAGTTAAAAATAAAATAGGGACAAAGAATTACTACTACCTTTTTGTTACATATTTTCTCGTATTTCAATTTGACGTCAAAGTCCTTGTTGCTTATGTAAATCGTCTATTTTTGCGCCGCACTGGCGTCAAATTATAGCAACTAAGGGATGGGGAGGAGGGACTTGCTGTGCAATGAAATGATGCAATTAGCCTAGTGCATCGAAGATGGCATTAATAGCAAATCGCTTTGTTTTATCATATAAACCACATGAATTATTTTACATTTACTGTTAATTAGACAATAATAATACCTTAATTACATATTTCTTTAATTTTATAGGTTATTCTTATACTCTGTAATAACAGAATGACTACATTTTAAATTACATATGGCGCCACTTATTGAACTTTTATTATACTATATAGTATATCTTCTTGACACTAGATGGCACAAGCAATATAAGTTTTTCTACTCAATCTTAGATGGTAGCACATGTATCTAACTTCACTGTGGATTAATAGATTGAAACATTTGCTTCTAAATTAAAAAAGTTCTAATGTCAAATTACGACTTTGCTTACGGCTAACTTCTCACCATTACATACGTAAATGTTAAAAAATGGCCACCGTAAAGTTTGCTGTTGTCGATGTTGGTGATTTTTTAGCGAAGAAACAGGCTACCGAGCCAGATTTAGCAGCGGATTGGGCTAATTTGGAAGAACTTTACAATAAAAAGTAAGTATCGTAACTCATCATAGTTTTTGATACACAACTTTACGTACAAATAAACCTAACCTGTTGTTATGTTTTTACAGATTATGGCATCAACTAACGCTAAAACTGCAGGATTTTGTAAAACACCCAGCGCTCCAAGCCAACGACAACTTAATTCAGCTGTATAATAACTTTCTGTGCACTTTTGAGAACAAGTAAGTGCGATTTTGCAAGTCACCTTCTGTTGTGAAACTTTTTACATTTTTATCGACAATAAAGACAATGAAACACATTCATTACAAGCTCCCAACTGCATAATTAAATCTACGCAGGGCGTTGCAGGGTAAAGTGCCCTTCTTAGTTTGTGGTAAAGTCTTTAATATCCCATATACATTAGGCTTGTATAGTTCATGAACTACAAACTATTAGGCATATATTTCCTACTACTATACTACTTCATCGTTCTTTTTAGTTCAGTACTAACTAGGAACTGTCTGTGTTGATCGTTCACCTGTCTTTTATACAGTAGAAATGGTGCGAGCGCACCAAATAACGATCTTTCATTACTTTTAGTACAAGTTCGAGTGGGATGCACGATTGAACGTTCCCAGCTCGTTCTAAGTCTCTAATACATTATGTATACCTATATTGAAGCTGGCAAAAAAGTAATATTTTTTGGTAACCTATGTGTATGAGTCTATGAAATAGTTGTACCTAAATGTTGATTTTCAAACACACCATTCTAACTAAAATTCTTATTTTGTAACAAAAAGGACATTTTGTTAGAATGACAGTCTTTAAACCTGTAAAATATGAAGGAAAATCAAATAGTACCGATTCCATACAAATTGAATTTTTAAATATTTAGTACAGTGTAGTATTGACCTCATAATACTAGAAGCCGGTAGTAGTTCATGTCAATAAAATTACTAGTTTGGAGCATTCATTCAATGTCTGAGCAAGGACAGGACGAACTAACTAACTAAGGAACTAGATGAACTAAATGAACTAGAAGACCGACCTACTAGTTCAGTTGACCGATTAAACTAACTAGGATCCCTCCCGCTAAGGACTGATCAGGCACAAGTCTAATATACATTGTGATTTCGGCTCTCGTACTTTTCGTCTTATTTCACAGTAATTCGTGTAGAGCCACTGTCTTTAGGATGTCGGTGCTTTATTTAAACAATTATTCAACTCTTGCGGGCCGTTCCAATGGTAATTGCAAAATAAAGCAAATTCTTTATTTTTCAATGTTAGGATGTATCCGTCACATGTAAAAGTGGAAACCACTTTTAATAGTGTATGTGATACATTTGATGTTTTTCTATGTATACCTCTGATGGTAATAATCCTAAGCTTATTCATGGCTTTTTGATAGTCTTGACACTATGGGAATTTCATAAGATATGTCCATAAAATCTACTTTGAAACACCACTCTCGCACTCATTGTCACTACCTTCCCAACTTAAGGTTTTGTCAGAATCACACCTTAGATAATCTGAAGTAATGGTACTGGGACAACTCCTATTCATATTTTCAAGAAATTATCATTATCATATTAGAAGTCACTATCTGTCTTTTAACAAGATTTTTGTCACATGAGGCAAAGGAATAGACTCAACTAAAGTATAGATGAAATGGTTCACTAAGAATGACACATGTATTATTTCACTTTTACAGAATTAACCCTCTTTCCCTGGTGGAAATCTTAGTGCACACTATACCTCAATACAGCAACAAAAAGGATGCCATCAGCTTCCTCGAGAAACTGGAAACCAAAGTCAAGGCAAATGATGAGGCACTGGCACTTTGCAAGGTAAGTAAATGTAACCATATGTGCTTGTGACAAGACTGACAGAGAAAGTAGATTTACTCACAAAATTTACTATTGCACAAATAACCTAGATGCTGCTTTGTAACGGAAATGACGTGATGGTGGCTAAAGCTTCCAATAGAATTTGTATTTGTCAGTTTTTCCAACATTGTTTGCTAGAGATGTAGCGACAATGAAGGTGTTATTTTTATTTATTTATGCTTTACTATGAGTGGGCAATGTTCTTATTGAACATTCATAGGGCTGAATTATCCCTGCAGGTGTTAGACGATAAAGATAATTTACTGTTTCCTGGTTGACAAAAGATTCACAATGTTCTTTTATTTTTTGAATACATTATTGTTCAATCTAAAACATTGTTAGTTTATTAATAAAGAAACTAGAGCATACAATTGAGGAGTTAAAAAGGGAAATTAAATATTTTGAAAATAACCTTACAATGACATAAATACACAAATATCCACCTGAGACCAATGGCAAACAAGGACCACGAGAGTAATCTTCACAAAAGAATCAACGAAATATTTCGACATTTAATGCGAGTGGATCTGTTACCCTATATAGAAGCTACCTATAGCATTGGTAAATACAAAAATAAAAACCGCCCGCTTGTAATAGAGCTACTAAGTAAAAGGATGACGAAATATATCATAGAAAATAGCCACCAGTTTCAAGGGACCGAATTATCGATATCAGACTTTGGACGAAAATGCAAGAACAACAAGAAGAACTATGAGAGAAAAAATGTACAAACCACGTGCGAAAGGCTTACATGCAGTTATAAGAAATAACTAATTATACATACAGGGAAAGGCTACAGTTGTGGGGAATTAACATAATAGTACAGATGGATACACATTATTTCACAACATTAATGACAGTAAACAAATACATCTAGAACAAGATACGTCGAACGTAAACAATGATAAATGGTGGCGCCATAACCATAACTATAACTATAATGGCAACTACAATAATTCCTTTCAAAAATACAATGCAACATTTTAAAATATTATTTCAAAGCTTTCAAAGTCTAAATAGTAAGCAACACATACTTGAAGAATTAATTAACAAAAACTCTACATATCAAGCCATATGCATTTCAGAATCTTGGCTAAATCAAGAAAAACTAAATTTGATACAATTCAGTGGTTAAAATGTTGTTGAAATGTTGTTAAAATGGCATCACCTTATTGTCGTAAAAACCGAGGAGGTGGAGGAGTATGTATCCTGTTGCGAAAGTATATTGAGTGCATAGACAAAAGCGATATCTCTGACTTGTCAATTGAGTATGTATTAGAGGTGTGCGCAACAGAATTACTTAAACAATATATTTTACTGCTTAATATGTATTGGAACAAAAAAGAGGAAAACGTATTCTATGATCAGCTTAAATATATTTTGAATTACATAAATTGTAAATCAATCTGGCGTCAACAGCGCTTGCGTTTGGACGTTTTGTCGCTTATTACCGTAGGTAAACCGTTTCCGATCTACCCCCAAGTGAAATTTTTGTGTGGTGAAAATGAGTGACGGAGATGAAGATGATGGCCCGGATTTAGCATATCTGGATGGCCTTTCTACAGAAGACATAAATAGAACAATTTTGGGTTGTTCCCCCACTCTCAGGAGAATGACAAGAACACAACTAACTTTGAGGTTATGATGATTGAGTCTTGCACTAATAACACATCTTCGAGGAACAATAAAAGACGTGTAGAGGAAGAATTTGGGGCCTCACAGAACCCCGATAATGAAGGCTTTACTGTGGTAACGAAAAAAGTCAAACCCAGAAAAAAATAAACATCTCGCTTCTCCAACCACTGCGGAAGAAATGGATACTGCTAATGAAAATTTGCAATTATTTGAAGTGTCTGCGATGTCGAAAGACATTCCCCTACCGAAACAATTAGGTATGGCCAAACTACTAAAAGATGAAAATGTTCAGGAAATTCGGAATGTAACCTATAAAAGTCCATACAAAGCTTATTAGATTCAAAACAAAAGAGACGGCAACTGCATTTATGAGGAGCGACCTTATTACCAAAACACAGTGGGTGTGCCAAAGTACTAGTGAAGTTTCATACGCCATACACCATTACACCATAATAAGGGACATTGATATAGATATAGAAGAGAAAGAAATGTTAAATATATTCCAAAGTGAAACAGAAATTATTTCTGCAAAAAGATTAAGTAAAAGAGATGATGAAGGTAATTGGGTAAAAAGCGAATCTATCCGTATTTGCTTCATGAGACCTATCCTCCCTCAATTTGTGGTAGCATATGGATGTCGGATGAAAACTAGATTAAAAAAAAAATTGTAAATATTCTAAATTGGACATAATTTTGGCGATTTTAATTATATAACATTACATAATAATAACATTTTAAAACATAATTTAAAGGCTAAACAATTCTTAGATCTCATGTTGGAATACAACTTCACAAACCGTATAAAAACGCCTACACATATTACAAAAATCGCGTCAACATGTCTAGATTTGATATTTACAAATTTTAAAATGACTGTCCAGCAGGGCCATTCAGAACCTTAAGGCCCATTTAGATGGGGAGAGTTTCTCGCACGCTTCGTGACGAAAACTCTTAGGCGATTATCGTGAGCAATAATCGCCATAAGATTATCGTATCATAAAGGCCCATTTAGATGGAGAGAGTTTCTCGTCTCGAAGATGCGATTATCGAAAGAATATAAAAAAACTTTCCTCGTCTAAACATTCGCGATTATCGACCGTCCATGTGAGCGATAATCTCCTCGCCTTTCAATATTGAACGTCTCCGTGTAAACAGAACTCGAAAGCAAAAATCGTATTTCGAGTTTCTGTGCCAGCCGTTTCTACCACGAGTGCAGTGCGCGAAGGTGTTTTGATTATCACTGCTTTTCTAAGACAAGAATTAATGGAACGAGGGCGAAAAAAAAATTTCAAATAACGGTGAGTGAGTGAGTGCCTCTGTGGTCGAATATAGCGTGGGTAATATAGTATTTAGGGTGCTCTCGTAACGAATATGGCACTCCTTTGTAAATCCAGGATGAAAAGTCGTGCCCGCACTTTTCAAATAATGGCAAGTTGGGTTTCGTTTTTGAGGTATTTGGGGGTGCTCATTACGAACATAGCATTTATTTCTAAATCCAAGATGGCCGACACGACTTTTCAAGTAAATGTACTTTTCAATAAACACTCCTCACTAACTCCTCACTCACTCACTCCCCACTCACTCCCTACTCACTCACTCCCCACTCACTCCCTACTCACTCACTCACTTACCCATTCACTCACTCACCACTCACTCACCACTCACTCTCTCACTCACTCACCCACCACTCACTCTCTCACTTACTCACCACTCATTCACCACTCACTCACTCACTCACCCACTCACCACTCACTCACTCACTCACCACTCACTCACTCACTCATTACTAACACACTCACTCACCACTCACCACTCACTCACTCACTCACTCACTCACTCACCACTCACTGACACACTCACTCACTCACTCACTCACCACTCACTCACTCACGCACGCACGCACTCACTCACTCACTCAGGCACTCACGCACTCACTCGCCCTATAAATTTATCATAATTGTCAGTTTTTGTTTGTGTCAGTAGTTATAAAATTAAAAAAAAAATGATAAATCAAAATTATATTTCTATACAGTGCAATGAACTTAATATTATCAGCAGTTCCAAATTTGAATGATTTTTGCGTCATTTCGATATATCCATAGTCAATACCGCAGTAATCACTGAACTCGAATGGCAATTCTCGCACTCAAAACGGTTCGAACCAATTTGTACGATAATCGTATGAACTTGAAAAAATGTCATACGAGATCGTGTTTAGACAAGTCGAAAACTCGTAAGCAAGAGAGAGTTGGAGAGAAATGGAGAGAGTTTCTCGCACGCTTCGTGACGAAAACTCGTAGGCGATTATCGTAAGCAATAATCGCCATAAGATTATCGTATCAGTATTTAGTCTTTGTACGAATAAATTGTAAGCAACATAACCTCACTATTTGGTAATCGCTCGATCAGTTGTCTTTATTGCTAACGTTCTTTTCAAATTGTTTTCATTTTCTTTTTCAAAAGCTTAAACAATGTTTACTCGCAAAGCTGCTGCGGAACGCTAATCGGAGGATAAACTCGAACACGCTTTATTAGAACTCAAAACAACAAAGGCACTATATGAGCAATTGCTAACAAAAAGAAATCATAGTGAAAAGGGAATATTGGACATTTTAGATAAGAATAGGCAATTAAAAAGTGATATGGCTGAATTGCTGATACAAATTACGGAGGTACAGCACCAAAGAGACCAACTACAGATAGTGGTAGATGGATTCGACCAAAGCAGCAGCGCATTTGAAGAAGCCCTTGCGCGCATTTCTTCATTAGAATGTGACCTACGAAACGTATACAATCAAATAACTGTAATGGAACAAGCAAGGGACGAACACCAGTCAACATAGTCGCAGTCCCTATTTGATGAGCTGGTCAGCAGTGCTTCCTCAATGGTATGTGCTGTACCACCCTCCTATTCAGAATCAATCACCATTGATCTGACTTGTGATAGTCACTTATTTAATTCAACAGCCTTAATTTTAAATTGTAGTAAAAAAAAATAAAAAATATGTTAAAATTAATAAATACATATCCAGCACAAACAAATTAATAAAGAAAAATGCAGCATTTTCTACAAATATATCATTAAGAAAAGAACGTCAGAGTTTGTTGAATGAATTGAGTGATTGTACTAAAAATCTTGAGAGAAATAGGCTTAGCTATGAATGTGACACACAGATCCTCCAGGCAGAATTACATAGTGTAACAAATTCATTAATATTAATAACACAGAAATGTGGAACTGCTCAACAGGAGATTAAGGAGCACATACAGGCTATGGATAATTAATTAGATTTATGTAGATATAATAATAATAATAATGACAGATTTGAGTCTTTAACGAATAATCAAGTTTGCAATTGCAAAGAAATAAAACCACAATCCTCCCTGTTTGTGTGTGTCACTGATCCCTCCTTATTGTTGTCGCAGGAATCTTGTTCAGAATTAAAAAATACCTCTTTGACAATAACTAGTTGAAATGAAATTCAAAAAAATATTGTTATGTATAGTGATGAAATGGGTAAAAATATAGGTTTGCATCTTAACCACCTAGGAATAAAATTAACAAATATTTGCATGCCAGGTGCAACATACTGTAAAATATTAGACAGTATTTTGTCAACTAAATTTGACCAAGACACTTCATTAATAATTTTGATTGACAGAAGAGGAAAATGTAACAAAAAAGATTTAATACAATATTTTTCACAATTAAATAATTTAGATAATATAAAAGAAATTATTTTGTTAGCTTTTCCCTTCAGCAATAGCCTCATAACAAGTGAAAATATTTTGAGGCATAACTTAAATAGAACATTACACAGCTTGACATTTCATTATAGTAAATTTCATTTTATGGATACTAATAATTTTATTAGTAAATATTTTTATTTGACAAAAGATAGGTATTATCTTACTAGTTATTTTAGGAGACAGATAGCAGAGTTGCTATCATATTATGAAGCTGCATGTGCGCAGGGACTTGGCGTTGGCAGTGTACGTGCTGAAAGTATTCAGAGGTATGCTACATAATCCGAGATTATTAGGAGTGTTAGGATTATGCGTTCCTAATAATTACGTGGAACGACGTCACCAGCCACCGTTGCTGGCTGTGCCACGTGGGAGACCAACCTCATGAATGAGTGTCCGCTGACTCGTACTTTGTGCACCCTAAACAAAATATCGGTCAAGATCGATCTGTTCCATTGTTCTCACAGTGAGTTCACAAAGATAGCATTGTATATTTTATGTTACGGGTAATTATTTATTATATAGTTTATATTATAGTATTAAGTAATGATATTGTTACTTAGTATTATTTAGTAATAAAATTAATATTGCTAGTCTATTGTATTGGGTACATATCTGTACGAATAGATCAAGTTTTGAATAAATAAATAAATTATATTAATAATTCAGCCAAATCATTGGCTACCAGACCGGCTGTTTCTATTGAGCAGTCCATTGACATAGGTCAGTTTACTGACAATAATCAATGTGTTTAAAATAATTCAATTTCTAATTATTTAAATTAATTAATAAGACAATGGAGAGATACTCTTGCAACACAATGACAGTAAAAAACTAACTTAAAACACACAGAAATAAAATAAATTGTATATTAAACCCTTAGATTAAACCTGGTGCACCAAAATATTCAAGGCATGAAAGGCAAAGACTTAGAAATAGAATAATTTATTCTGTAATAATATTGATATTCTTTGTATTACTGAGCACCACTTTCTATCAGAGCATCAGTTCATGGTTAGCTTCAACAATCACCACTAGTTCGTTCAGCAGACAAAAAGCTATTCATGGCGGCTGTTTAATTCTTATTAAAAATAATTTAAAATTTAAAGAACACAGGTATTGTGAGCCTATTTATTGAGCGGACTATAGAGATATCCTGCATAGAGCTTGAACGGCTTGTTATAGAAGCGTATACATTGCCCCTTAAATGATTTTTTGACTTTGTGAAGACGACTGTCAAGAAAAGCTAGTTTATTTCTATTCCTCGTATTAATGTTATGTCTGTCACTATTTTTCATAAATAAATTACTATTCCTTTTAACATAAATTACATTTTCATAAATGTACTGTGAGGCTAGTGTAAGAATGTTAATTTCCTTAAACTTATCTCTCAAAGATACTTTGGGGCCCAGATTGTAAATTGCCCTAACTGCACGTCTCTGCAGGACGAAGATTCAATTGATATCGGCGGCATTACCCCAAAGCAAAATGTCGTATGTCATTAGACTGTAGTGAAGTAAACCAATCTAGCGGTTGCGGCGTCTGAAAGTTTCCTTATTTTTTAATCGCGCACACTGCAGAGCCGAGCCCCATTGCAATTCAGCACTAACGTTACACCTAGAAATATAACCGCCAATTGACACTGCACGCCCGGGAGAAACGCGGTCGGCGGGATGTTTCCCGACGTTCGGTCGGAACCAGCGCCAGGTCTAGCGCCGTCGCCTCCCTGTGCAGGTCCTGCAGGGGCAGATCTACCTGGAGCAGCTGAACGACCTGGACGCCGCGGAGAAGATCATCTCGGAGCTGGAGGGCAGCCTGGAGGACGCGGACGGCGTGACGCCGGTGCACGGGCGCTTCTACAAGCTGGCGGCCGAGTACTACCGCGTGCGCGGGCCCATGGCCAAGTACTACCGCGCCGCGCTGCGCCACCTGGGCTGCGCCGACGGCGGCGCGGCGCTGCCGGCGGCCGAGCGGCGCGCGCTGGCGCTGCGCCTGGCGCTGGCCGGCGTCATCGCGCCCAGCGTGTACGACCTGGGCGAGCTGCTGGCGCACCCGGTGCTGGAGGCGCTGCGCGGCTCGGCCGACGCCTGGGCGCACGAGCTGGTGCGCGCCGTGGCCGCGGGCGACGCCGCCGCCTTCGAGCGCGTGCGCGGCCGCGCGCCGCACCCCGAGCTGCAGCGCGCCGAGCGCCAGCTGCGCCAGAAGGTGGCGCTGCTGAGCCTCATGGAGATGGCCTTCGCGCGCGCGGCGGCGCAGCGGCGCCTGGCCTTCGCCGACATCGCGCGCGCGGCGCGCGTGCCGCCCGACGAGGTGGAGCTGCTGGTCATGAAGGCGCTGGCCGAGAAGCTCATCCGCGGCCACATCGACCAGGTCAGCGGCACCGTGGCCGTGGCCTGGGTGCGGCCGCGCGCGCTGGGCCGCCCCGGCGCCGCGGCGCTGGCCGGCCGCCTGGACGCCTGGTGCCGCGCCGTGGACGCCGCGCACCGCCTGCTGCGGCGCCGGGCGCCCGACCTGCTCACGCTCTGAGACCCTCAAACGCTAATTGAAGCGAAGATTAAATTACATACAAAACTATTCCCTAATGTATTTACAATAAAAATTTAAACCTGCGTCTTTGCTTTCGTCACTTTCCATATGGTCTAATATATGTGTCGCATGAAATTAAAGAACCCGAGGAACACTGACCGCTTCTTAGCCGGTATGAACCGCAAACAATTTTCAGAATTGTCATAACCTCTCGATCCACATAAGCACTTGACATGCAACATCAGTGGCACAAGGAATTTTCGGGATTTTGCCATGCAAACTCGTTGTTTTTTCCCCCCGCTAAGAAAAATGCAATGGGTTTAAAAGCTATATAGGCAAGCCGTAGCAAATTTTTCTTTTGGTACTTCTAAATAGATGGGCTAACGCCAAATTTTAAGTCCATTATGTATATCTTTTTATGATACCAAATGACGGAAAGAACGAGTCCTACGTCTAATGGTGACCGACACGTCTGTCCATAACAGTTACAGTACCACTCGGAACTTCAAAACGCAAAGACCCGAGGAATACCGCCACCCTGAGACACAAGTTGACAAGTCTCTTAGACCTGTAATTTCACCAGCACCCTTATCCTTCAAAACTGGAACACAGTAATACTGACATTACTGTTTGACGGCAAAAATAGGTAAAGTGGCAGTACTTAACAAACTCTTTCACAAAAAACTACTGCTACTACAACTAATTTGCAACTTATTCTACTCTGTGGTACAACAGTCAAGCTCAACTTTTTTAAATGTAAAATGCAAACTACGTCATAACCACGCCGACGCATGCAAATGTTTGATTATTATTATATACCTACTGACTCTTGATTAGCCCTAAATTGTAGCTTCAGCGAAGCACAGATACCAGCAGTGTACCAATTCCTTTACCGTACCTACGCATCTGGGAAGGATGAAGCAGCAAATCGCTTCGGGCAAATGAATGGTAAGTAAAAAGACATAAAGATGCAGTGTTTCGGACTTTTAGTCTACAGAAGGAGAAACTGAGAGGGTGGTAGTAAATTGTAAAGTTCCTACGCTCACTCTCCGAAACATAACCGACAAGCAGACTTCTATACTTCTGGTACAAAATAATACGCAGCAACCCTTATGATTTTTTATTTATTTGAATAACTTAGTCGCACAGCTTATACTGCGCATGAAGAGTCAACGGTCAAGATATTATTACATATTTTATTTTACTATACATATAAATCTTATTATTATTCAAAGGCTAACTGGAAGAAATCCTATCCTAATATACCTTTGTAACCTATATTTTGTAATCTGAGCTTTGTACACTAATGTTTTATATAAACCCCCAAATGAGTTATTTTACATCTCCATTCCCCATAAAATCCTCAATAAAATTTGTAATTCCCCAAACATTTTAAGTAGCCTAAAATCGCCTTTTCCTATTTCAAATATCGCCTAGTCGCCGACCACTTTTTTAATCGCCGCGCGACCCCTCAAAAATAGCCTAAAAGGCAAAAAATCGCCTAATCTGGCAACAGTGCAAAAGATTCCTCTTGAAATTTTGACTTTTAGAAAACAGTGCTGCCATAATATGACGCATAATCGATTTTAATATAAATCGATTTAGTTTTAGTAATTTTAAGATTGTTTTACATTTGTAAGTCGGATTCCTTTGAAATCATTATTAATTACTGCATTTTCATTAATAATTATTCAAATTGTAAACTATTTGATATAAAAATTTTTGCAAGAAAAATTATAAAATCGTAACACAATGAATACACGCGGCGCTTGTAAAATGGCGTCGCCATGACGGGTGGACGATCGGCGGTGATTGAATGCATTTCATAAACATGCAACCCGTGTTTTTGTGCTAACACTGTGTCTAAACGAAAAATGGTAAGTTTTTGAATATATTCATTAACTTTTCGTAAATGGTTATGTTGTTGTGCTCTTGTTAGTAGTTATAGTAGCCTTAATATGCCCCATCTCACTCATTTGTTATGATTCGTTCCTGTCATTATTTACAATCGGCAACGTATATCTGTCTCTTTCTCTCGCACTGTCTCCTTGCAATAGGTTTTTCATTTTTAAGTACGCGACGGAGACCGAAGGAAAGCGGGCCCCAATGGAAAAATATGAACAATATACTCTTAAAAATTATTGATTTTTCGTTAAAAAAAACAAGCTAACTAATTGCATAGGCGACGTTGCTTTGTGCGGTCCTCTGACAATGTAAGTACGTTTCTATTTTTGTAGTTTTCCCCTATTTGAGGTTGTGGTCGTGAAAAGTCACATTTTTCAGCACATGATTTTATGTTAGTCGACCATTTTCGTCGCTACCTTGAGGTCGCGTACATTTTTACAGTCCACATTTAGACTGAGTAATTGTTTAAATATTGATTTTTTTTATTGCGGGGCTTGCATGTGTGTGTCCGTGCACGAATGTTTATAACATTAGTGGGGCCTGCGTTATACTATTTTGGGATCGGCCAAATGTAAGCTTGTTTTAACCATTATGTTCCCGACCGTTCTGAGGTACTGCCAAGGAAATCTAAAATATTCGTGTCTAATTTTTTCACTTCCTGTTTTCTTCTACTGTGTTGGCGTTTTGAACTATATTTCCTAAACTGTTACTTCATGGTAAGTGTCTAATTATTTATTTTGTAGCTTCGTTCTTGTTTAATGCATTTTCAGACCTTGATTTCGTCATGTGCCATATTTCAGTACACTTATCGCTTTTGCGTCTCTTATCTTTTTTCTTTCTCCGTCTTTTGAATATATTTTTTTTGTGCTATTTAAAGTTAATGTTCTCCTTTATCGGTCAAATGGCCAAACCTAATGTTTACAACAACGTGGAACGTAAATTTCTGATAAGATTATAATAAGCACACCTTCGAGGTTTTTTATTTTAAGTCACCTTTTAGTTTTTCAATGATAAAACTCTCGAGACCCATTGTAAATCAATGTCTTTTACTGTAAATCAAGACGTGTTTCAGTATAACTTGCAATATAAACCAATATCCCTTTAGTCACGGAAGTGATAAAATTGGTCAGTTGTATTTGCATACTTATTATATTATATTTTCATTAGTGCATTTTTGATCAGTCCATCTGGCTTATCATGGTTCTCGTCAAGGCTGAAATTGTGAGATACACCACCATACCATCACGATGCGGATTTATCGACTTTATAAATCATCAAAGTTCCAATATTACTGTTAAGTATTTAAATTCATAATCTATTAATATGATTGTACCTCTATATGATGACATATGATTGTAAACCATTATATTTAATAATAAGTGAGTGCCCTTTCTACTTTGCTGTGCCCTTACAGGGTGTCACATGTACACTTACAAACCACTGTACGTAAATTATTAATAAGTGTGACAATGCAATAAATAAATAAATAAATACATTTTAAAAATGATTCTAAACAAGTGTAGAGGGCGTTTGGATTAATATCTTATCTTAAAAAATGCTCAGTGCAGTGCTAATTTAATTATTAACTGTTTCACAAGACATCAATACTTTCCTGTGGCTTCGTGTTATTAAACAATAGTGGATTTGTTTATTGCAAAATAGTATATTTATTAGGATTATACTTATATATAGTTGAATTGCTTGGATATCATTGCTTATTAACATTTGATTTTAAGTGCAAACAACTATTTCAAAATTACATAAAGCTTTATAGTGTAGCGAGCTTTTAACACTTAATACGATATAAAAGTGTAGATAGAGACCTTTTATCCCATTGTCAATCACGATAATATTTATTTGTAATAATCTGATTTTACTCCATTATATTTCAAATATTTGTGTTTCGTGACTGGTGGTAGTTACAAATCACTTGTAAGATGTGAAGTAGCAGTGGATTGTATGTAGCCTGATGCTGCTTCTTTTAAGAAGTTCCGTGCTAGATGGACATGAAGGTCTGCCTGAAATGGACCCTGGATTCAATTTTCCTATACGATTATAGTAAAAACAAGAAAGTAGAGCATCCTATTCCTGAAAAACTTCCAAGGTCCAAATATAACATCTCGTCTTTATGTGCTTTGATATCATGTTTTATACTGAAGATTTTAATTATGTATATGCCACTTAGAATAAGAATGGTCCAAAGTGCAATTTTTGAAGCTGAGTGTGCTGTTGATAGCACAGTGCAGACATGTTTTCACGGGGAATAACATGTCTGAAAAGAATAATCCGTGTTCTCGCATAATAGTCTAGCATCACAGACATTATCAGCGATGCGAAATCGTGACTAACCAATAAGGAAAACTGTGTTATCATTTTTACCATTTCAAGTACTTTGTTCGAAACTATTTCTAAGCAGACCTTTTGATTTTGAATTAATTTGAATATTATTAATACTATATTATCCCAACCATGCCATCGCAATAACTATAATTTTGAGTAGACAGACAGTTGGCGTATAAAAATTGAACCCAATTAGATAAACTCTTTTTTCTTCCGAAATTTCTGAAAATGTATCGATATGTCAATACCTCAGCTGCCAAACCACTTCAGCAGAGAAAGAAGTCCCATAATCTCTGTTAATGTCAATGCTACCCATTCCCTATTCATTAGTTCTCTAATTGCCTTCTCAAACGAGATTTAAGATTGACTCTGAAATTGATCGAGAGAAAGTATGACGTTAAAAAACTATGTTGTACTATCTGAAAATGGAATAATTTGCTCAACTTATGAATTTGAAACCCAACTGAGTTTCCTTAACAATTATTGCTTGTAATTATTCTCAGAGGTATAAGGGAGAAGGACTTCGTTTTCATTACAATGATATACAAAAAATCTTTATTTTCTCATGAAAACTGGACAGATACAACGATGGAACGTTTCAACATGTCCCGTACAATAATAGTAACTAAACTAAAAGGTATTATTAAATGAAGAGAAAAGAGTCCTTGAAAATCTACTTCAGTCGGGAGTCTTTTGTTTTCAATTTTAAAATTTTGTCTCGCAATACAGTATTTTTTTAGTCTTACAAAAAACAGTACGTGAAGTCCAACAACCAGAAATTGTCTCAGCTAGTCGCGTTTCAGACGCTTGCTCTGTTTGCATCAGTCCATACAAACACGATCGTCTATTTCGGACACTTAATCTGACCTTTCTAAGGGGATCTCCAATCTGGCGCCGAGGCAGATTATCGTAAACTATACCTATTTTAGGTGTTGTCATGATACAAAGTCGAACGCATTGTATAGCCATGGATATCTAGATTTTCGGACGCATATTAGTCACGATTCACAACATTCTACGTGGCGCTCTAAGACCCGAATAACGCAAAACGTTCCAGGAACCATTCTTAAATTTAGACATTCTTAAGCGTACGAGTTTACTGTTTCGGAATGTGAGATTTTTTTCAGTGTACAGAGTTTTTGCTTTTTTTTTTCGGTTTCACCAATTCTTTGCAAGTCTAATCATTGTAGTGGGTTTTAAACATTATTTTTAGTAAGATATAGAGCTTTCTCTGCAAACATATCCTCACAAACGAGTTAGTTACCTCAAGGTTTATTTAGGCAACTTTGAGTAGGGATTCCCATTCAACCTAAATATTCTGCTAGTATAAAAAAGCCAGTTGTCAACATGAATTGGTCAAATCATCAGTGGCCAATGAATAGATAAGTTGTGACTTGTGAATATCACATAGAATTTGCTCGATGCTCGTCTCATATCTTTAGATCCCCCAATGTATCAAATAACAATAAAAAAGATGACCAAAAAACAAATCTTCTTTGCACTAAAACAATTGGGTTAGTTTTCTTCACATTCGCGTACGATTCATGTATATTCTGAGTACGTTGAGAATGTTACTTGGCTAAGCAAAATTCCAAACTCTCGTTCTGAATAACACAAGATATTTAAGAATCAGCAAATACTTTGCGAGGTCAATAATGTCCATAGCGATGACTGCAACGCTTTGTTCAAGATTATTTTCCAATAATATGTTGTAGAAAGTCTAGGATTCTCGGTACTAGAAGAATAAAATTAAATCTGGGGTCATTTACTTTCCAGACATACCATTTGCAATGAAATTTCCTTTAAAATAGTTTGTTTTTTTAAATTATTGCTTTAATTGCTGAGTTACGATGTCGTAAATAGAGAAAAACTTATATCACTCTAAAAAACATGGCGCCGAAGTGGCAAGAAATTCTTCAAAATGTTAACCACACATTTAAAATCTTAACCATACATATATTCGGGTAACAATTATCGCCATTATTTATAACTTTATTTTGGCTAATAGTAAACTAACTTTGTTTACAACCCATCTTTGAATGAATGATGCAGTGCACTCCTGTTTACAATCTGCAATTTACAATGAGCTAACAATAGTGATATCATATTTTAGTTGTTGATCTTGAAAACTATTGTTCTAAGGCTGCAGTAACATTTGGTAATCTTTAATAGTTTATCATAACTAAAAATGTATTAGGTGTATGTTAGGAGAAAAGTTTAACTTACGGTGTTTAATGTTAAAAAATAAATAGTAGTGATTTTTAAAAGTATTTTTGCCAGATATGCATTTTTAACAAGCTACATAAATTAAGATTTGAATAACATTCATGATTATAAAATAACGTAAAAGTTAATTAAATAAATGTTATTCAGAATAATTAATTCGGCAAAGATTTAACGGATACTGTTTATAGACCAATTATTAGATTTGATTGAATTAGCAATGTTTGATTATTGAACAATTAATTTAAAAAAATATTTACATGTTATTTGATCAATATCTAATTATTATTCCTAATTTAACGAATTAAATTTTTATGGTTTTAATGTTAATGATTCAATAATATTAAAGTTTTAATTGTAATTTCGCTTAACTATTGTTAAATAAAGTCATCTTTTTCGTTATCGGTAAAAGAAGTAGTGTGTATATAAATTTAATTAAGGCCAAAAACCTAGAGTCTAAGTCGAAAATTATTTCTAAAACGCAACACTCCCCCAAAAGGCGCTCCCTTTATCTGTGATAAGCAAAAAAACGCCATAGAGGGGTCTGGCCGGGGCGTCGGGCATCGACCCTAGGGGCTGCTTAAAATAGTCCGACCGGGGGTCTACAGACTGCAGTCACGTAGCTGTACATATGGCCATTGGTTTATATTTGGAGACATTTGAGGCCAACGCCGAGACTTTAAGAATTGAGATTCGAGATTTTTAAAGATATGTATATAATACAACGAATACTTGTTTTTATAATATTTGCCTCTGTCTAGCTGCATAGAATGGAAGTTAAAAATTTACGTTGGCCACGCTTCTTGTCGCTTCTTAAATGGGGACAAATGTCTTTTCCTTACCGGTAGTAGAGACATACTTTGGATTTCTTGGACATACATTAAGTGTCTTGGCCATGTCTTTTGCCAGTTTTCGTGAGTGTAAATATTATTTTTTCATAGTAGATAAATACCTGGATACGTTTATTGTCTTACCACAAGCACTCGCAACATTGTGAAACAATATAAAAAACAAACATATATAATAACGAAAAAAATTAACGGAACAAAAACAAAAAAGACCTTTTGAGTTCTTAGGTAATTGTGTCAAAGATTGGACGGACTTAAATCGTGTATAATATTTTTTTTAAACTGTACTTAGAAAACCTTTGTGACTGTAGTTCAGAATGGGGTGGTTTGGATTAATATTAGACATAACTGGTTGACGACTTTACCATGTCCGTCAACCGTGACCACGGGACCAGTAAAGGAACCGAAACGTTGGTTTGTTCCAAACATAAAATATGTATATACGCTATTAATGTCCGACAAAATAGTTTAATTGCCCAAAAGAGAAAGAGTTTAAATATACTCTATGTAAATTATATCAACTAACTAGAACCTTAACTTGTGTGTCTTCGAGCAAGCTTATATGTCATCATATAATAAAGTATTGGTTTGAGAATAGTTTTATCTTAGAATATCAACGTACGCATCTGATCTGAGAACATGCAGACAATCAACATTTGTATCTGCGAAGTTTGCTTTAATGTCAATGACATATCGATCGGTGAGCTACCTACTGAGAAAGTTAAATGGACTCCCTCCGACTATCACTTGTAAAGGTAAATGCCTAGTTCTGTAATTATAATATGACCTATTCTACTCGTCGAAGACCTCGACAGTTTCAGATTTATGTGGTCTTAAGAAATTGTCTCGTTTTTGTTATTAATGTCAAGCTTGCAAGCGAAAATTCCCTTTTGGAAATAATTACCGTGGTAACATTTTTTAAACCAGCAACTATTTTTTCGTTAAGCAACCCAGAATGACAATATGTGTAATACGTTTTGTATGGCTCTGTACAAAATTGAGAATTGAAGACCCAATGAAACCAGCTCGCGGCGTTAGTAAGGTTTCTTTTTAGGGTAATGAATGATCATTCTAATCGACCATTCCTTAACTCAATTACTTACTGTAACCGGGGGTAACTTTACGGTAATCGTAATCAGACACTTTTGACGAATCGACTTAAGGCACTCGTTACCGATATCAATTATCAAAGGTTTCATTATTAAATTTATAGAACAGAAGAACAGCGTTTCTAGAGATGATTCTACCGGGAGCCAAAGATGGTGCATCTCGATATTACTGTACTTATGTACAGGACCGTCGAATTCATCAAAGTATAATCCCCGTGATAGAAATAACATAGCAAGTACGCACCGCAGTAATATTTCTGTGCTTTGCTTATCGTAATTTGCATGTCTGTGTATTGCCCTCCGACAGCTATGAACTTTATAAATAATCAACTGCATTTTTTCATCAATTCGATGTGAAGTTTATAAATACACTAGCTTATAAAAATGCACGCTTAAGCGTGTTAAAAGAAATCTCATATTATCTGATCTTGGCAGACGGTTAGAGATACCAATGCAGCTGCAATCCTAGAGACGTCAATATTTTCCATTAATCGTTTTCATGCTTGTACTCTTTAATCGTAATCAGGAATAACACAACTCACATTCGATGGACCTAGTAATTTTTTATATAATCTTGAAAATACTTTCATCACAATAAATTTTATTAATTTCCAAGTAATTTATAATTAGCGTCTAAATAAATTAAAACGTCATTTTGAATAACATCAGTGAATTGAAAATTATGAATAAGATATTCCACGTGTACAGTTACAGATAATTATGTTCTAACGCCAGACGCGCCAAATAGGGTCTTGCCCTCTTTCGCTATTGATTTTTATGTTCAACCTTTTTGTTTGTAACTTTTGGCGCAAGGAGGGATTTCCCAAGGTACATCTATCTCTTTCATACTCTGTATTTGAGGTATACACAGTCCTTTTCCCACTTGAGGGAAAACTTGTTCTATTAGGACTTGAGACGTACATTTGATGTCTTGTTTTAACTTTCCTTTTCCCGCTAAGATGACAAGAGTTTTTATTGTTCGGTGATATGAAAAGATTTGGTTTTGTTATTTTTATAGTTATGGATGTATGATTTCATTATAATTGGAATGGAACAACAATGTCATCGGATGAAATCGTTTAGATTGCTTTCTTCCAAGACATAAATTAAGAAAACAAATCGATTCTAGTAATCGATAAAGAATTTTCGAAAGTAAATTTTGTTAATAAACTAATCATTAAATTTTGTATGGTAACATTTTTTGTCAAAAATTTATGTGCGCGAATTTGTGAGGGACACGGAAACAGAGTTGCCAGAAGGTGGTTATATTTCTTAAATGTTTCGTAACTTTTGATTGTTTTTATGGCAATTTTTGTAACTTCTATCATATTCACATGCCCAAATACACAATAAAGTAATTCAAAGATGGCGCAAACAAACTGAAATCAACTAATTTATAACGTATTTTTTTTAGGATTTAGGTGTACTTATACAAATATATTATAACGTTCACATTTAGAATTTTTGGTTAAAAAAAAAGAAAATGTATATTTGGCAACAAAAATGTAACATTTAGCGTTCAGGTAGGTATAAAAACGTAATTTTCGGTTCAAAGACCCTGGCAACACTGCACGTTCTAACCACAATAACAGAAAGGCATACTTGTGAAACCTTGGTACCATAAGTGCAGACGTACGACACTCGGAAGTTCATTACTGTTATCACGCGTATGAGACTTGGCCATTGTTTGGTTCCGACTCATCTGAATAGAATAAAGGTCCTAAATAACACACGATGTCCCCACTGCACTGAAGAAGAAGCAGATTTAACTAACTTCAACAACCAACGGTCTCTTCTTAGGAAAGACATAAGTGACAGCGACAGTTGTGTGCGAAACCAAGTCAGTGTTCCCCGCCGCGTTCAGGACTTACTATCTATAATAAGTTTATTATAAGTACGGTAGAAAAAAAAATTCTTAACATCCTATTTATGTAAATAATTACTTAATTTGCATTTGTTCAAGTTCTAAGCTTTTGTTTAGTTTTTATTAGTGTTAAAATGTTTTCGATTGAAGGACTTTGTATCCAAAACACAATAACGTTCAACTAGCTGGTGCCTGCGACTTCGACTGTGCAGAATAATTAATTCGAGTAACCTACTGTACTATTGACTCGAGAAGTTATTGGTTTTCCATACAAACTTCCATCCCCTTTAAGGTATATTTTTGTGACAAGTAACCAATGTCTTTTTCCTAAATTTCATCTATTTGGATTTTTGAAACACTTAACAGGCAGTTATTTACTTTTTTATTGTATTAGTCATTTACTTATTTACTTTTGCATTTATTTATTTTTATTTATCAAAATTTTATCGACTACACGACATGATGGTACAAAAGGCGGACTTAATGCTAAAAGCATTCTCTACCAGTCAACCTTTAACAAAAAACGAAATTCACGAACGCGGCGAATTATTATATTAATAAATTATATATTACATATTATTATTTAAATTATATTAGTAATTATTAAACAAAATATTACGTTAATAATAATTTATATGTAATAAATATTTACAATATTGTAGTTTGGATTAAGATTAAGGAACACCTTAAATTTAAAAAGAAAACTTTTTTTTAAATTTATTAAGGCTTTGGCAAAGCCATCAGCCTAAACATGAAGTTTAATTATGTTTCTGAAACTATGGCCGCCACAAAGAGGATAGGCAATTTGAGGCACAATAGCACTATCCTATTCCACTTTAAACTAGATTTCACAAAATAATTGAAAGTCAAAATAAAAACGACACTTTTCCCTCCAAAAGGTCCAGAGCGAATTCAGAAAACTTATTCACGGGACCATTTAGGTGCATCGATCGCCTTTGTTTGATTGAAATCTTTTTACTGATAGAGGATCATTATATCCATGTCATTTGTGCCTAATGTACGTTGTATTCTTTGTGGTAAATATTTTCAAATCATTATCATGTGAATTAGTAAGTAATTCAGGGCTATTAACTGGGTTATTTTTAATTCACTTAAAACATATTTGAAAAGCATTAAATAAGGATATGTAAGACACAAAATAGAAGAATTTTGTAGCAACGAATTATTATTTTCCCCTTTGGATGGTTACTGGGATTATTTTTTTTGGCGGAAGTAGGAGGCTAATCGAAAGCGTCGCATAAATTTAATATATATTTTTTTATTTTCAGGTATTAACAAGCTGCATGTTCCAGTATTTACCGAAAAATCTCTAGTCTGAAAGTTTCTACTTAAAAAGTATTCAATGTACTTAAACTATTAAAAAACATATTTTTAGAATTAGATCTGTGATACAAAACATTTACGTGGACTTAATAAACGTGCAATTTTTAAATAACTTTTGTGCAATTTTTACAAATTAAGGTTTGGCCAAAGATAAATAAATAAAAATTAACTTTTTAATAATGTTTTGGTGATACTATCTGTGGGCGCGATTTTAACACAAGATGGCGCTGCCGCCGCAACAGTTTTGCGTGAGGTGGAACTCCTACCACACAAATTTACAGGTAAATTTGATTTGTTTAACAAAAATGTATGAACTGCTTCGTAATTATTATTTTTATAACACATTAGAATGAAATCAACTTGAAAATACCGAAAATCGTAATGAAGTTATTAGAATTGGTGTATAATTACTGACGCTTTTTTAGAGATTTCCTCCTATCGCTACAGCAAATCGTTGAAAATTCGGACACGTTCGTCTTTTGTTGTTGTCGGACACATCGTGGGGAACTAGCCAATTTCCACACTAGTTACACGCGCTTTTTGAGACGATGAACGGTAGTGGTCGAATGGCATTGAAGTCTTCGGCCAACTTTCACGTTGTCAATCTTTCGTCCTTCCACGGCAGCCACAAATGCCCGATTCTGGAAATTTGGTGGTCGATTTTTAAAATTTTGTTTGGACGAAGAAGTCAAGTGCCGGTGGTAAACGACACGTCTGTCCATTACAGTTGCAGTCTCGCTCATCGCTTTAAATCGGAAATATCTCAGGGCCACTGCCACTGCGCGCGCCACCCAGAGACACAAGTTGACAATTCTCACGAGCCTGTAATTTCACCAGCACCCTTACCTTTCAAAACCAAAGCACTTTACTGCTTGGCGGCAGAAATAAGTAAGGTGGTAATACTTCCCTGGATATGAAACTTTCACAAGGAGCTCTACTGCGAGTTCTTTCTTAATAATCTGCTTTGTATCGCTGAAATTGACCCTCTTAAACTATTATTATATCTATAGCTACTATTACTATAATAATTTTAAGATATAATATCTATAACTATTATATCTTAAAAATATATTTCAACTTGGCTAATCACTAATTTGCCAAACCGTTCGTTGAGATCCCGAAATCACTATCCAACCTTTCTCGTAGAGGTAGAGCATAATAATTATGGCGAATATTAATATGATTTTCCATACGCATTTCCATTAACACAAAGGTTAGGGTTATTTTATGGAAAAAATAAACTAAAAGCAAAAAATTCCGCAATAATTACGCATCGTTTAATTTTTCAACATCTCAATTGCCTAGATAAATAATGTGGATAATGTAAGTCACAATTTGACGTTCCTTCTTAGATGGCGCTATTGAAATCATGAACAAGTACCTATTGTTGTTTCTCTCTGACACATGACTTTAAATGACTATAAGTATTTTTTCAAGAAATTTCAATTCTGTATTCATTTTCAAGCATTATCTACTATTTCATTATGTTTTATTATTTTATGATCCTTTTTAGCATAACGATAATTAGTTAACAATTTGTATGGTGCCATGAAAGCTGTGACGTCACGAAGAAGTGTTGCCATTTCAGACAGCCAGTTTCTGACGATGACATTCCTCATCGAATTTAATAATCTGTTTTCACAATATTATATTGTCAAATGACAATAAAATTAATTTCCGCAATTTTTCATGCTATTAAAAAGCATTTAATTTTTATTCATGCTAAATACAGTATTTGTGTTTTTATTTTTTACGACATATGTATCCCACTGGTCCCACGGGCATGCGTTTCCTCTACGGAGAGGGTTTAGGACATTGATGCCATGCTGGCCCAATGCGGATGTGAACCTTCCTCGGCATGCAGGTTTCATCACGATTATTTATGATGTGTGTATAGCTTATATTTTCATGGTGTAAATGTTACCTTGCTGGCCAGAAAGTAGACTGTACACTCAACCCGTACTATAGTCTGTTCCAATCCATTTTATACATAAGTAAACAAACTGTTTGGTTAAAATTCTAAAGCAATCACTCAATAAATCGAATAAGTAACACTTTCACGTTTTTTTTCGAAGATTTCGATTTGATATCTCATCACTTTTTTCAACAATATTCATTTGAATAGCATCGTAAAATCGTGTTTGAAAAATGGTAGTCCAGATATTGAGATTATTTTTCATTTTTACTTCTATGACTTATCTATGGTTGCATAGTGCTGTACGAAAAAAACATTCGATTCATTCAATTAAAGTTTAATCGATTAGTAAATCGAAAATTTCAATCGCAGTTTAATCTAAGTGTAAGGATTTGAAGGAGGATTTAAAATTAAGATTTCGGAAATTTGAAATATATGCTTTTACGAGCCCTATACCCCACTTACGGTTGGGTCGGGCTCGGTGTTTTTTGCAATTGTGAAATCTAGTTGCCGTATACTACCTACGTAAGGTGGCGTGCGGACGCTTCGGGCTTCGTCCTCCGCTAGATCTCGACCTACGACCGACTTATGACGTTAAAAAAAATTAACATAGCTCTTTAATGGCGGCCATGGTGATAAATGGCAAAAAGTAAATTCTGACTGCAAATTATTATTAAACACCAATAGAGAACACCTCATGGCGATTTTCAGTCGAATTAAAGCAACATTTTATCAATCGCTAAAAAAGTTCGTAAGGCAGCCATATTGAAAAATGACGAAAAAGAAATTTTGACCGGAAATTATTACTTAACACCCACATGCCGATTTCCAATCGAATTAGAGCAAATTTTCATCTGCCGCCAATAAACATTTCTATGGCAGCCATGTTGAAAAATGGCGAAAAATCTATTTTGATCACAAATTATTGTCAAGCACTCCTAGAAACCCATATGCTAATTTTCAAAGGGATTTGAGCATTTTTTTTTCTGCCGCCAACAAACGCTTCTATGACGGCCATATCTGAAAATGGCGAAAAACAAGTTTTGAGCACAAATTATTATCCGGCATTTCTAGTGACCTTCACATGCCAGTTTTCAGTCGAATCAGAGCAAATCTCTTTCGGCATCTATTTTTAACGAAAAAAACACTTATATGGCAGCCATATTAAAAAATGACGAAAATAAATTTGTCAAAAAAAATTTGACCCCATATTATGATTAAGGACTCTAAAAGACCCTCGCTAACCAAATTTCAGCCGGATCGAAGCAAGTTTTTCTTCGGCTGTAATTTTGAAATCACCATCTTGAATTTTTTTAACCCAGGCAGTTGACCAGTGTTACCCTCTATGACATTCCTTCGAGCACCTCCTACCTATCTCTAATAGTTTCCGTGATAGGAGGCTTTGAAATTTGTATGGCGGCCATCTTGTTTATTTGAATTTCGAACATTTTTTATTCCCGCGGAAATTGACTAGGGTCGTTCATAAAAATGCATAAAAATCCCCCCCATGCATTATAGTTTTTGCAGGCTGTTTAGATTTTCCATATTCAGGTCGTTTCATATTTGATTCTTTGCCTTGGAGCCTATCCTCGTACAAAGGTATAACTATCTTTTTTCCACCATATCGAGAAGTATGCGTTCTATTTTTCTAAGTGAGTTAGGATTTATAGCTTTATATATATAATAGGTTATGTATTTTCACTATTTTCATGTAAGGAAAACCGTTACTATTAATTAAACAAATCCATTCATTCAATTATTAATCGATTTGCAGTTGGCATTACAATAGGCCATCACTAAACCGTCTATGGTCGGGTCAGTGACTCGTTTGTTTACTTTTTGTGTAAAATGGATTGAAACGAAGTAGGTATACTTAACTTGCTATACGCTTCTAACTTTAGAATATACTTATGTTCTCCACCCACAGGCGGTATTTCCCCGTTTGCTTCTAACGGAGCAGTTCGCAGATGTGACGCTAGCATGCGAGTCAAGACAACTGCGATGCCACAAACTGGTCCTCTCGGCCTGCAGTGCGTACCTCGAGAGGCTACTGCTGCAGAACCCGTGCAAACACCCTATTGTGCTTATGAGGGATATGAGGTCGGTATACTTACTATTTTTTATGATCTCATATTCATTCTTAATAATTAGAGATAATAAACTGACGTTTAGAGGGTTGCCAGTTTTTGATGATATATAAATAATATTTTCTTAAAAAAAGGATGCCCTTTTCAATAATTTGTAGGTTTTAATTTAAAAAAAAAATACAATATTATAACAGAAACGTGATATGAGTATGTAGAGACTAAAATAATATTTTAATAGACAGTCAAAAATCTTTAACTTTTCTTTTCACTGATTCTGTTTTATTGAGTTCATTGAAAACTGGACCAGACAATGCAATAAAAATGGCAATGCAAATTTTGAAAGTGACAATACTTATTATTTTATTGAAGTTCCTAATCCAAACTAATATTATATGTAGTAACTCTGTCTGTTACATTTAGAAAGACATAATCTAGGAGAAGGACATGGGCAACTTTTTGTCACAAAAATAAATCCTAAAAGGGGGTGCAATAAGGGATGAAAGTTACTTATTCTACACAGACAAAGTCATGGGCACCAAGTAGTGTTTAAATAAATGGTCTATTTACAATTTAAAACCAATGAACCTAAAAATAATGATCACCAATTCATAAAATGTTGAGTAGATTTTATGTGAAAATCAAGTAATCTATAACAATTACTTGATACTGTACCCGATCTTAACGGATCTATTACCAGGGTTGCCAACTTTGTCACTAGATTAAGCGATATTTGGATATAAAAATTTAAGATATTTAATTGAGTTTCTGGAGCAGGTTCAGCGAGATGCAAGCACTAGTGGACTTCATGTACAAAGGCGAGGTGAACGTGACACAAGAGGAGTTGCCCAGCCTACTCAAGTCTGCAGAGGCGCTACAGATCAGAGGTGAGCTATTATCCAACTGCAGAGTAAACAGAAGGCCAGGCTATGAATTTACCTCCTTTTGATTGTAGTCACAGTTAAAAGCTCATTAAGTCTTTTAACTCTACTATATTTCAAATCTTTAACTAGTGGATTTTGAACCAACTGTGGCGGAACAGAAATAAAATCATTATAATAACATTTTTTGTGATAAACATGACATAATCCAAACTTGGAAAAACACATAAAAATTTATGTCAGTCGCAGATTGGATGCACAGCAATTTGTATTGAACGTGCATTAAAAAAAATCGATATCATCCCCTCATGCTGAATGGCCCAACTTTAAGAAAATTTTGGTTTCTATGTTGTGATATAATAATTTTGTATTCCATAAAATTACATAAAAGATATAGGATAGCATGTTTTTATGAAATGCTTTTTCAAAATTTGAATTTTTATTGTCTTTTAAAATGTATTTTAAACCGTAACAGTTCACCATTATAACAGTTGCAGCGTAAATTCAACTTAAGTTATATAAGAATTGATTAACTGTATAGAATGCTTTGTACAAATACAATTTCTTTTATGTTTCTCAGAGAGCTCAAAGCTTGTGAAAGCACAAGCTGTTCACAATGTAATTAATAGGAACCACTTACAATGCTATGTACGGGATACATCTTAAGTTCTGTTAGTTTTTTCATTGGAACAAGGTTTTTAAAACTTTTGGTCTCTGACAAAGGAATGCGTTATGGCATAAGTAAAATATTTTGCGTTTTGAAATAACAATAATAACGTCGATTATTTATTAACACAACAAAAAAAATGTTGCCAATGTTATGCCACTCAGTCATATTAAAAAAATGCAAAGGAATAAAAGATACTGCCACAGTTACCTTTTTTTAAGATAAATTTGTTCCATCGTCGGTCACATCTTTGCTTAACGTGCACATAATTTGAGACTTACAAAGCTATCCACAGCAAAGTAGCAAATTGTGTGCGTGACCCTTAACCTGTGCCGCAGGGCTGTGCTCGAGCGACAATGGCGGCTTCACGCAGGAGCTGGGCGCGCGCGCCGAGTGCAAGGACTACACCGTGGCCAGCGAGCAGCTCGTCGCGCACGCCACCGCGCACCGCGACGGGCCCGCCAACGGTGAGCCCGACTCTAATAAGGCGTCTTGCGCCTAGCTCAGCGGCCTATGTTAGTGCCATAAGCCTTCAGTATGTTTGTGTGCCTCACCTTAAAGGGAAACTCACTATGTTACTATTACCTTCTATGCAA